GTCCGTAGCCAACTGGTTTCATCTCAACAGTGATTTTTCCCATGTCTCTTTAATATTAGATTATTAGATATAGTCCTGTCAGAAATGCACAGAGAGCAACTCTGTTCTGCAGAATTACTCTTTTCAGGCCAGAAATTTAAGAGATATTATTGTCCTGTTAGCGTCTTGCATCATGTCAAATGTTTCTTTCTTTTTTTTTTTTTTGCGGAACTGGGGACTGAACTCAGGCCCTTACGCTTGCTAGGCAAGCACTTATTCTACTGAGCCATTTCTCCAGCCCTTCAAATGTTTCTTTAAGTCATAATGTATTTAAGTAAATTGGCACTTTTGGTTTTGAAAAACTCAGTGTTTTCAAATGACTCTTTTCCATTGATGGCACTTCCAATTATTAGTTAATTCAGCAAATTTAACGGTGATGTTGCCAATCAGACACATGCCTCTTTAATTCAATAAGTACATTGTAATTTAATGCATCTAAAGATGAAATAAAGTAAACTAAAGACATAGTGAATATCTATGTCCTGCCATGTGTCCTGCCTCTTAGGGCCCTTAACCCGGGCCCCTCAGTCTAACAATAATAAAAGAAGCCATTACTTTATTATGTGCATAGAAGAAGCAATTGTAATGTTGGTTTCCATGTACCTGTTATGGACATAAGCTGCTCAAGAGTAGAATTATTTTGAATTTCCTAGAATCAATAACCCTACTTTAACTTTATCATAGCCAAAAACCAAAGGGCACTTCATAGTGCATGAAGCTTTTTAATAACTTCTATACATTTTGAATATTCTCTTTGAGTTAGTGTGTAAAATAAAGCAAAAACAAAACCCCCACAAAACTAAGTAAAATGACCATAATAAATATTCATGTACTTTCTTAGGGAAGAAACAGACCTTCAAGGAAAAGAAGAAAGCTGTAGATTTTTCAGCTGTTAGGGACAAGGCACCCCAGAAGCTTTTTGCGATTATAAATGCCCAAGGTATTAAAGCAGACTTGCTTAAAATACAAGTGTCATAGTATGAGAGTTCAGGTCTTGGCCCTTTTCCTAGTGGTTATGACACCAAAGTACTCAAGAGATTAAGGCTCTGAGAATCCACTAAAAACCATATTCATAAGTGAAATAAGTCAGATCCACACATGGAAACATCACATTGTCTCCCTAGTGTCAATACCTGAAAGAGTAAATCCAAAAGGTATAATAGATATTATGAAAGGCAAAGAAACTATTCAAAAGGAAGGAACACTAGGTTGCAGACAAGCATACATACAGGGGAAAAACCAACTAAGGCCACATGGAGAAGGAAGCCCTGGGCAATCCCAGGCAAAAGCCTTCAGGAGAAACCAACCCTTACCATATCTTGACCTTGGACCACCAGCCTCCAACACAGTGACTGTCTATTGTTTAAAGCCATTCAGCCTGGTGTTTATTACAGCAGTCCAAGTATACAAACATAGCACCAATACATAGGTTTTGATGTTTTCATTATGCAATAGAAAAATAATGTCTCTGGTTTTAGAAACTATAAGCTGAAACATTATATGAGACTTTTTATAGAAAACAGGTAGATTGGAGAAAGTCATCTGGTATAAAACAAAGCTCATCAAAGCAAAACATCTAGGGAACATAGGTAAAGGTGTTAAAGAATTCTTTATACTATTTTTGCAACATTGCTTTTGGTGTAATATTATTTTAAGATAAAAAGTATAAAAAATTAGGCTAAACTTAGCTTCATGTGAACTGTAAATAAAATTATGAACATTGATATATTACCTACTGTTTGGAGACACAATTTTCTCATTAAAAATCATTTTCAATGTTTTTAATTTTTATTATTCAAAATTATAAAAATTTTGTGATATAATTAGGTTGCTTTGATCACATACCACATTGATAATATCTATAATATCTCCACAAACCTTAATGAATTTTTAACACTTACTATACATGCTTGTTTTATAACTTTGTTAGGATAATTAATAAAATACTTTAAAGCATAAAATTAAAATAACCATGTGTGAAATAACAGATATACATATTCAGAAAAAAAATGAACAATGATAAATTTTTCAATCACAAGATCTGGTTATGTACTTTCAAAAGTACTATAAAAATTATCAAGTTGCTTTAGTATTAGGCTACTTTTAAAACAATGAAGACACAAGATGGTTAAGGCAATGATCCTGAGAATCTTCAGCAGGCTTTTGAAACTAGCAGTTAATCAGTAGGATTCTCACCCTGACTAACTGTGTATGCTGATACCTGTGAACTAAGCAACTGTACTGAAGATAGCAATGTGTAATACTAGGGCCAGGCTTGGAATGCCTGTCATTCTGGTCTTCTAAATAATACTGCTTCTCATGTCATATCAATTACTGCTATACTGTCTTTCAAGTAAATGTCTGTTTTTTAAAAAAGGGTAATGAATGAAAACTAGAGACAAGAAAAAATATCATAGGACTGCCCTATTACAATGCTGTAAATGATCATATTTTTAAAATTCTGTGTAAAAATAGGTAATTGTTTATTCCTATTTTAAATATTTTATTTTTTTCTATACATTCTGTAGGGATTTAAAGTTTAACATATCAATACTTGATGGAAAATGCCTGTTCCATGCTGTCTAAGATGTTTGATATTCAGACAGATAGTGAAGTTAAGCTCAACTGTCTATGTTATAGGGTAATAATACCATTAGCCTCTTTTGGAGGGTTAACAACTTAAGTTTGCAGACCCAAAATTAGAGAAAAAGAAGGGGGTGCAAGGACAGCCAACATTTTGGCCATAGCCATTCAAGGTCAGTGAGGACTCAGGACACAGGAGAACTTGTACTGTAACATCCTATAACTCTGTGGTGTCCCAAATTTTCTGATCAAGGAGATTATGAGGCCACAGAGGAAAGTGATCGATGATGTAGAGTGTGACTAAGGAGAGTCACATGGAGAGAAAACAATCTCTTAGGCTTTCACAGAGAGCAAATTGGTCAAGCAATGGCTGTGACTCATCTACAGGGCTGACACTCACAAAGGATCTACAAACTGTGGTACAGGGTTTGAGGGTAAATCCTGTGGGGATTTGACTGATCTTGTTAGATACTGAAGTTACATTTCTTGTTATATAGGTCTTGCTTTATCTTGGTCTTAACCATCCAGTAGAAAAGTATAAAAACAAGGTACAAAAAGTAAAGCCATATTAATATGCTGAGCTGTAAAAGGCTCAAGTCAACAACTTCTGACATTGTCAGTCCCACGCATAACCCACTACTATTATGGACTACTAGATTACATTGGATTGTTTTGCTGAATTCATGCACCTATAATATTTAAATGGCAGTGGAATACCCATCTCTGATGAAACTATACAAAAAGGGGGATATAAATGAAGGACCATTTTGTATCTGTATATTCAAAACACTTAGGATAGATATATAGCTACTTTCAATTCAATGAGAAGAAAGATTTGTACTTATAGTGTTGGACAGGATATCATGTCTGCATCTTGTACTATGAATAACTACTATGAAGACAACAATATGCAATGTATTAATTATTGTAACTGTCCTACTAATCTGTTTTGAAACTGTCTCATTGCCATTTGTTTCTCAGTAAAATTAATTTTAAAAAACAGAAAAAAACAAAAATAAAGGCAATTTGTGGTGAAAAATAAATAAAACAATGAAGACTCAATATTTAGAAGGTACTAAAAAAATCACATCCTGGGGCTGGGGAGATAGCTCAGTAGAATAAGTGCTTGCTTGGCAAGCACATGGTCCTGAGTTCAATCCCTGGTATTGAAAAAAAAAAAATTTACATCCTTTGCAACTTTCAAACTAATTAGGAAACATAAAGTGCTCCCATTTTTGTGAGGATGCTAGCATGTGTGAAGCAACACTGCTCCTAGTGGCTTCTTTCTGGCGAGCTTCCTAACACTGTCCCTCAGAAGGCAGCATGACAGTGTGTGCAGAACGGACAGGTGCTCCTACAAAAGAGCATGAGCTGGATTAAAATGGTTTCCTTTATTACTAATTATTTTCACAATTTTTGTTCCTTGTTATTTCTCAGCTGCTTCCAGTAGTTAGGTGACTGTGACTACAGAACTCAGTCTTATTCCCATAAAAGCAATTTCTCTAAGTTACTAAAGCAGTAACTACCATTACGTAGGCTTAGTTTTATAAAGACATTACTTAATTTTCCAAATTTCAATAATGCCCTTAAAAGATTACTAGAGTTTATTTCCATAAAAATCTCCAATCTAACTTAAAACATAACAATATGAGAGAAAAATCATAAACTCCATTCTTTTAAAAAGGAGACCTTACAATACAAATTCAACCTTGTTTCCTTCTCCTGTGGCAGACAGGCCTGCTGAGGGCCGAGCATGCTCACGTTCAGTGGGTCTGACACATGTCCTAAACAGTTTCTCACTTTTCCCAATAAGCAAAACTTCCTAGTCGCTATGAAAATAAGAGTTATTTCTATCATCTTTGCCAGATTCTCAAATGCAACACATAATAAAGTTTTACATAACATTTTCATTACTCATCTCAGTAGATACAAAAAATATAAGGCTGACACAAAAATTTACATATACATTAATTTTCATTTTTTAAAACAAATTCACACCTGGAAATAAATGCAAAATCTCAGGAGGTTTTTTTTTCTTTCAAAGTATATTAAAGCATTTCTTAACATATGTACTACCAGCTGTCACTGCACCTAGTTTGTTTTTTTTTTATTTTATTTTTAACATTTATTGTGTGTGTGTGTGTGTGTGTGTGTGTGTGTGTGTGTGGCCAGCTCAGCCCACCAGGGGGCAGGGCTGGCTGGCATGTGGTGCTGGGGGATTGAACCGCGGTCCCTGTGCTTTGCCAAGCTTGTTCCAAGTAGGTGCTTTAGACCACTGAGCCATCTCTCCAGCCCCAACTGCACCTAGTGTGTAAAAAAAAAAAAAAAAAGGCTATAAATATTGAGCAGTAAAAAGGTATTCAAAAATGGGTACTTACATTAGCACAGTGTAAGGCCAGGGCACAGAAGACAGCGAACATCTTGAAGTTGTTCTCATCTGTTTTGGAGAAGGCACTGCCACTGATTTTGTTTACCATCTGCACCACACCAATGACACTTCCTCTGCTCACAATAGGCATGCACAGGATATTCCTGGTGGTGTAGCCGGTGTACAGATCCACTTCTCTGAGGGAACATGAAGAAATAAAGCAATTACCAGGAGGAAAAAGCAGTGCAAAGAAAATAATATTGCATTCTATCATAAATCTCCAAGTATGTATATGTATTACATATACCTATAATTGTATTACTAGGTTCTAAAATCAGGTATAATGTAATAGCTAAAAGTATTTTATTAGAACCTTTTAAAAATATTCTAACTCAATTGTTATTCAATTGTTAACAGTTTTTTTAAAAGTAGTCTTTATACATGGCTTCTGATTTAGAGTTGGGCTTTTGGTGTCCAGCACTGCTAAGCAGATAAGATGAACTCAAAGAAAAACTATAATAAGTGTAGTAAAGTCATAAATTCCTTTCAACTTGGCCATATTTGTGCAAGAGGTAATTTATGAAACCAACTCAAATGGGTATTATGATAAAAATTGAGGGTAAGGATCAGGAAATTACATTCCTTTGGCCAAATCACTCCATTCCTGTCCTATAAAACACAGCCATACCATTCATTTAGGAATTGTCCATGTAAAAAAAGACCTTCTAGCCTGTAGATCCCCTTATATTTACTACTTTGTCCTCAATAGCAATGTTCTGCTGACTCCTGATCAGAGGAAATGCTTTTGTGAACCAGACTGAGGTCCTCAGAAGCAGTCATATGACCAAATGTGTGGCCATTCCGTGCAGAACTCAGTGCTCAGCTCACCCATTTCCAGCACCTTGCTAGAGACCCATGCACACCACTGCATCTTGGCCCTTTGGTCCTTTCTTAATTTTGTTCACCAGGTAATAGGTTATATTATGTATGAATACCAAGTTGCTGGCAATTATGAATTATACCCTTTGAAGAGCTGTATGGAAGTCTTGTGTGGACAAATGTTTTAGTGCCATTGTTATTGCAAGCCCTCCAAGGATCAGAGATGACTCATGGGCTGTTCAATAAGTGTATGTTTAAATTTTCCAGCAAAGGCACAACTCTTTTCCCATCATGTGGCTTGTATCACTTGTGGTCAAAGTGGTACAGTCATGCAGGTCAGTCATGCATGAACTACCAGTGGTTCAAGCCCCCTGGAAGCAAGACACAGGATCATAGCCCCACTGGCAATGTGTTACTGATCATAATACAATTTCTTTTGTGAAGTGACTGTTAAACTCACCTGGTATTTTCATTAAATTGAGATATTATTATTATTATTATTAATTTATGTATTACAGGGTCTCACTATGCAGCTTGGACTCGTAATGATCCTCCTGTTTTCAGCCTCCCCAGCACTGGGTTTACAAGCATGCGCCAAGCCCTGCCATTCAATGTCTTAACTGTGGCTCCTATAACAAAATACCATTAAGTGGGGCAGGGTGGGCTGGTGATGTTTAAACACTTACTTTTCCTAGTTTTGGAGCTTAGGAAGGCAGAAAGCAAGATCTGGCCTTCATTTTCTTAATATAGTCCAACACTCAAAAACTTTTATGTGAAGATTTTCCATACTAAAGCAGTCAAATTATAAGTTTGTTTTGTGGAAAAATAAGATTTTTAGTAATATTCTCAATTTATACATAAAATATACTGCTAGAATGTAACTATACTCACATATATGTGAATTAGTTATATTTGATAGTCATTGATTGCACAAAAAAACTTTCAGTTGCTTCTAGATAGTATTTATCTCTTTAAAAAATACTTGTGACAATTATTATTATCAAAATATCTGAAATATTAGTCATTAACAATCATAGCATCCATTCTGAGAAGTGACATTTCTTCAGATTTATTAAAACTAGTTTGTATAGCCTCTAGTTCTCCAAACAAAGTCAAAAGAAAACAAATCTTTATAAGCCATCGACATGTTTTACTTTAATAATATCCAATGAATGCTATGGCTTAATGAGTTCCCACTTGGTGTCAGGTTTCCAAATCTTTTATGATATTAAATGTAATCTTAAAAACACTATAAAGTAGCTACTATCATACCCAGTATAAATATGAGGAAACTGAATCTCAGGTTATGTAACACACCCCAATCCACTCTTATATTGACAAATATCAGAACTATAATTCAAAATCAAACTTGTCAATATGAAAAGTATATAACTCTCTCACCATTATGTGGCAGCTTCTAGCATGTGATTTGATAGAGAATATGGCAAAACAAAATGCTAACATCAGAATGAAGAATCATGCTATGGCCACTAGTCAAAATTCCTTTTAGCTGTTTTTATAATTTAAACATCTGTAGCTGCACATTATTACATAATCATAGCTTAGAATATTTCATTTTATATACTATCTGAATATAATGGCTGCTTATAATCAGGTGGGCTCAGAGAAAAACAAAACAAGCAAACAAACAAAAGCGAAAAGGAAAAAAGCTGAGTTGAGGTCTGAGGACCTGGGGCCGTCCAGAGGACGCTTTCCTGAAGGGTCGGCCTGGAGACGCTGCAGCAGTAGGCCACCTTCTCACCTGTTGAAGCGTGGATCTGCATAGGCATCCGGGATGTTCAGGACTTCTCCTGTTCTTGCCACTTGACCAGCAATTCCTTTCTCAATAGAAAATCTGCATATATAAAAGAGAGAGACATGCTAATTAAAATACTGACACTAGAATAATTCTGAAATATTTCTTTACTATCAAATATTGAACAAAAAGCCATGCTTTATTTTGTATGCACTTATTAGCTTTATATTTATACATTCTAAATCATCTTATAAAATATATCAAAGTAAAGCACACAGTTATCATTTTAGAACCTTGTTTTAAGATGTAATTTACAACACGCTGGAATACAATTGTATCAAAAATTAAAAATGAAAAATTAGTGATCTCCAGCACTAATTACTAATACTTCCTCATATTTGCAAAGTACCTTGTAGTTTACAATGTCCTTCAAAATATATTTTCTTAGTAGTTTCTCAGAGAGATGTGAGCTGAGTGGCATATAAATTCACCAACTTGCCAATATTATCAAAATAGTATTGGATCAATAAAAATTAAAATGCATGTCTATACCACTGTAATTTCCACTATACATATCATCAAACTCATAGATTATGTACGTATCAGACTCATAGATTATGTATGTGGAAATGTACAGGATTTAAATTTTATGTTGTTTCCCATCCAAGTACTAAATACAGATATTATGGAAGTATTTTTGCTTATCTAATTTATTAAATTTTAAAACAATCAATATATAAGCATTAGCTGCATATAATTCTATTTTTATACTAATATCAATATTTTCTTTTAAAATTATACTTTCACACAAATACTTCACATTTTTATTAATTTCATCATCATCACACATATACTCATTTAAAATTTAATTTAAAAACATATCTAAAATTGCCAATATCCATATTTTCAAGAGTTCGAAAGTAATTTTCACATTATATTTTCAACATTACAGGAAATAGTCATTATGGAAATAAAGCTTCACCCAAGGAATATCAAGAAAACTCAGAACGGACATAAAATAGAATTAAAACACCAAAAGGTGAAGCAAGCATTGTAGAAAAACAAAGGTCATCTTCTCAGTTTTCTTGTATTTTAAACAGCATGAACACAACACATTAGAGTCCCTGAAGCAAGGATAAAATCCATTCGGTGATGTGTGCTATTGTATTGGTCTGAAAGCTGTGTGAACTATTCCTTCCCCAAGTTCTCTGTGGTTTTCCCTCTGAGGTGAGGGGCAGCCCATAATGAAGAGACATTCGCCCATGTCAGTGTCTGGCATCCGCCAGCCATGTTACGGTTAAGCAGTAAGCAAATTCTTCTGATTTCCTGTACTTAGAAGCACAGGCTATAAGTTACTATTTCCAAAATGAGATCAATACCAGAATAGTTAAGTAACACTCAAAACTTTAAGCAAGAGACATGATTTTAGCTAAGTGAATGTATTCAGACTGACAATACAGAGATCTAAATTGTAAAAAACAAAAAATTTTTAAAACACATATATACAGCTTGTAAGTCAGACTTGGGTGACTGTGGAAGAATTGGGTCTATCATTCTAGAGATGGAAGCAGAGGTGCTCAGCAGCAGCGGGGAACACCTTGTAGGCCACAGCTTGTTCTTTGAGGACAACAGTTTCTATGCCAGACTGACCAAATGAGCAGCAATCCTCAATAAGGAAGAGTAACTCACTAGAGAACTTTATAGCATTATGTATTCGAGTTGGCACAGCAGACACATGAAGAAAAGAAATGCCAGCATAACAGAAACCTCCTGCCAATGTGTGGAGGAGCTTCCAGCCCCAGCACCTTAGTCTTGATTCTGAAGTACATGACAGTGCTCCCTGCAGGTTTCCAGGCCACCACACCTCCACCAACAAATGAACTATAATTTATTCATGTAAGTGACAAGTGCTCCCACTCACAGGTCAAAGAAGGCTTGAGATTCAAAATGCAACAAAAATGTACACTGATAAAACTAACCAAATGGCCAGTTAAGAAATGTGTTTACGTCATTAAACACACCAGATCAATGTCCTCTACTTGGTGACACAGCCCCATAGGCTGGGAAGAGGTGTGGGCCAAAGTGGTTATGCTTGTCCTTGCTCCTAAACATGGAGAAGCCTGCAGACTCCAGGTGGAGTGTGTCTTTACCTACCTGGGAGCACTAGTAAGTTTTTCCAACATGATTTCCAAAAGGACCGCCTCCGGAAGACGGCATTTCCAAGAGTGACGCTAACGCTTCCTAGGTGTGGTTTCGCTGGCACTGCAATGTCATTCCCAGAAGTACTACCTTCAGGAGGCGGGTCCTGGTGGGAATGATATCACAGTATGACAAGTATTGTCAGCATACCTGTGAATAGGCACAGAAAAATGGGTAACAGAACACCTGCACATCTGTGACCAGAGCCTAGGAAGTTCCACTCTAGCTGTACCTTATCTCCTTGGTCTTCTTGAAGACGGGTTTTCCTTCCTTTTCCTCTCCAATATCAAAAAGATCTGAGTACAACTCCTTGTTCTTATGGTCTACCTGGAAAAGTGCACAACGATCGGCATTCACCAGGTTTTTTGCATATATCTAAAGACAAATGACAAAACAAGAGTAAGCCAATGAGGAATCTAAAGAACTCACAGGTGAAATTTATCATGAATTAGATATTAATTTCAGCTACTCTATTCCTTCATTAAGAATCAAATTAGTGCTTTAAATAAACAAACATATAGGTAAATATTCTATGTGTGTGAGTTTTTGCTATATGCTAATACTACCAGAAAGCAACAAGAACAAACAGCTCATGTGCCCCTCAGCTCCAGCTGGATGCTGATTTCCTCAGAGACCTGAGCCATCTGAGACTCTTCTAGAACTTCTGAGGCTTCTCCTGGTGCCTGGGTCTGAGCCTCTGTCAGCACAAAGCCAGCATTCACTCTAATTAATTCATGTCTGTGAATAATATTTGTAAAAGCCTTAAGAAGAAATACAGTTTGATATTCACACCAGCTGAATTTTATTTGCTACAGTGTCTAGAAACTTGTAACAATTATTAAATATAACTTGTGCCACTTAATGTACTTCTATATACTAATTTATTCAATTCTCATAATAACAATTTGAGTCAGGGAAAAATTTTAACCTCACGTTACACATTAGGAACACCGAAGTTCTGAGAAGTAATCTAGCTTGGCTTCCTCTTACAACAGTACATCTGGTATTTGAACTCATGCTATCTCCACTGCCCATGCTTTTTTTTTTTTTTCTGGAACCGGGGATTGAACTCAGGCCCTTGTGCTTGCCAGAGAAGCACTTATTCCACTGAGCCATCTCCCCAGCCCTGCCCATGCGTATAACAAATACGTGTTTCCATTTCTAAATGGAAAATGTATTTATTTCATCATTCATCTGTTCATGTATTTCCTTCAATAAATATTTCTTTAGTGCCTACCATGTCTCACTGGCCTTAATGGGCTGGGACCCATAGTTATGTCATAAATACTGTATTTACAAGGATTGAGAATTTTGGCAACTTGACCTCTCCAGATCATTAACCATGAAATTATTCCTTAGGGAAAAATGACCTAAATCTCTGAGTAAAACAGCCATCACAAAATCTATGCAATCTACGGCCATACCACCCTGAATGTGCCCGATCTCGTCTGATCTCGGAAGCTAAGCAGGGTCGGGCCTGGTTAGTACTTGGATGGGAGACAAAATCTATGCAAGCAGAAAATGAGCCTCTTTGTGGCCAGGGGAAAACAAAAAATCTCATGTAAAACTAAATTATAGATTCAATAGAAATGTATCAGAGCACTTCATGCACCTTCCCATCGCCAGTCTACATGGTGGGCTTTGCTGTTGCTAGCGATCTGTATGCACCGTTCAGTCTGCAAACCTGGCTGTGCCCAGAATGGTGTGTGTGTGTGTGTGTGTGTGTGTGTGTGTGTGTGTAAGGGGTGGGAAGAGAAGGTGCGAAGTCCACAGCATCACAACCTCAGTTTCTTTCTCTTTTTTAAAATATTTATTTATTTGAGGGCTGGCCAGCAGACTAAAGCGCCTTCTTAGGACAGAGCGCAGCAGCCGGGGTTCGATCCCTGGCGTGCCGTGCCAGCCCTGCCCCTGGGCGTGCTGAGACAGCAATTGAGACTTTGCATGTTGGTGTGTGCCTATAATCCCAGCACCTAGGAGACTGAAAGCAGGAGAATCACTACGAGTCTGATCTATGTAGTGAGACCCTGTAGACTCTGTCCTAAATACAGAAAAAAAGAAAGAGAATTTTTATGATCCTGCTATGTCAGTAATACTGAAAACCGACAAGTTATTTAAAAAAAAAAGTCATAGGCCGTTTACCTGGGAAACAAGTAAAATTGTAAACAAAAATGATAACATTAAATGTAGCAAATGAAAAAAACATTAAAATATTTAAAAATGTATTTTGTTCAGAACTGTTTAGTACCATGAAGTCTATTATAATTCATTCTGACAATAAAATAAAGTTCTGTGATGATCTCTGGTTGTGAGTGTCATATGACTAAATTCAGCTACCATTCATGATAAAATCTTTAATAAAATGGAAAAGAAGGCCCTGATACAGCAGAGCACTCGCCTAGTATGCACAAGACCTTGGCTTTAATCATCAGGATTACAAAAAATAATTGCTATCTGTATAGAGCTTTTTTTTTTTTAATTTTTTTTTTCTTGGCAGAACCGGGGATTGAACTCAGGCCCTTGCACTTGCCAGGAAAGTGCTTATTCCACTGAGCCATCTCCCCAGCCCCCTAGCTTAATATTTTTAAAGTAATTATATAATACTAAATAATAAAATGAATAATATATCAGAACCATTCCATTAAAGCTAATAAAATGACCTTAAAAATACGGGACCGGGGAGATGGCTCAGTGGAATAAGCACTTCCCTGGCAAGCACAAGGGCCTGAGTTCAAATCCCGGTTCCGCAAAAAAAAAAAAAGACAGATATTCATTAATGTGCAGTTAGACAAAAAAAGAGATGTGAAGTATACATATCTGAAGCAACAAAAGTATTATTATTTGCTGATAACATTAACAAGTTTTTAAAAAACTATAGAAAACAACCCAAGAAGTAATTGCAGGTACTAAGAAAGACTTCTGCTTTAAGGTGATTGAACATTGTGTACTTTTCACTCTCCTCAGATAATAAATTTTCAATTTGAAATTTACCTCCAATGCTGAAAAAGGACTTAAAAAAATACCTAGACATATTTTGGTAATGTTCTTTGCCAATCTAGCATTCACACATAAGGCAAAATACAATAGTTCAGAAACACACAGTACTCAGAAATTTACTATGCTGAACTTCTAGGATGGGAGATGCGCTCATAGGAAGACGTAAACATTAATTTGAGGAAGTAAGGAGATGTGGGATCCAAGAAAGACTGATTTTAAAAAAGCATCACCAACATAGTAATGGAACTACAAAATTTGTTAATAAATAATTTCTAAGAAATTAGAGATGAAATGTAAAAAGGATACTTAAAAAATAGTTAATGTATGTATATGCCTTGGTGATAAACATTCATAGGCTTCAGCTTTTTATATCAATATCTCTTTCTCTTAAACACTGTGAGTAAATATATGAATTCTGGATTGTGGTATATGGGTATCTTGTCTTATTTTTTGTATTTTAAAATTTTACCAAGTTTAAAGAATTAAAAGCACCTGTAGGAGTCATGGTATAATGGATTAATTTCAAATCAAATACTAAACATTTCATAGAAATTATTTATAAAATTTTATCAACAACAAGGGGATGGACTTACTCTCTATGTAATGAAACTATTGTATTAACATTAAAAATGTCATGGAAAACTTAAAAAAACAAAAACAAAAAAATATGAAGAGACAGCAAGAAGGTGAGAAAGCAAGGAAGAAAAGTTTTGTGAAGTAAGGTGTAGAACAGACACTGAATGATAACTGATCTCGCTAGAAAACTTCACTTGAAAGTGAAGCACAAGGCTAGTAGAGCACGCCGTCACCACATGGGGAGAGACAGCCTGCGAGGGGAGCCTGCACAGGGGACACTGAACAGAGGCTGGAACACACACACATCCCCGAAAATATAGCTGAGTCCTCCTCTCCAATAATTATAAAAGCCTGAATATTTAAGGGCTTTGCAGTGAAGCAAGCCTGTAAATTCTCCCTTTTATTTTCTCAAGCTAGTTGGCGTGTTTGGATAAGGAGAAGAATACTGAAATACCTACAGATGTACCAAAATTAATCTGAAGGTCGAATTTGCTGATTCTCAACTAGCAGTAGATCCACCTGGCACAGAGCACCTGAAAAGAAGTGGAGCGCCAATGCCCGATCAAGCAGGAAAAGAGAAGGCTCCCGTGGCACCCAGTCCTTCGGGTGAAGGGTGCTATCACTACCACGCACAGGACCATCTTGTTAAGGACAAACTGTTTCTCCAAACCCTGAGTATCACCCCATTGAGAAACACTGTGGTTTTTTTTTTTTTTTTCTTTTTTCTTTCAGAACCGGGGATTGAACTCAGGCCCTGCGCTTGCGCTTGCCAGGGAAGGAGAAACACAGTGGAGGAGGAAATAATTGACCATGAATTTAGAGATAACCCAGAGTTGCTCATCTAGAAAAATGAAATCTTGTTTATCATATGAGAAGGGCTCTCAGATATTCTAACCTCATTCCTCTCTTGCTTCCTAGTCTAACCCAGCACTCTCTTTTCAAAACCTGAATCTGGTCATGTACCCTCTGGCCTCCAGCCTTAAGGTGAATGCTGTCACTCAGGCTCACGCCATAGTCTTCTACACCACAACAAACTGCTCTACTTTTCCTGCATCTGCCTTGGTTCGTCACCTCCATGCATCCTCAGATGTTAGTGACAGAAGCAAAAATGCCTGACCCAACTTCTCCAGGAGGGCAGACCTCCTCCTCAGGAGCTTTCCCAGCATAATGTCCTGCTCCACACCCAAGCCCTATGTGTGATGGCAATTTTACATTCACCCGGTACTTGATCCACATCTGTCACCCTATAAGCTCAGCAAAAACAGACTGTCCAGTCTCAAGATCATCATTTCATCACTCCAGCTATTTGCTACCTGGTAGAGGAACTGATCAGAAATAGCCACGAAACATGACAGAAGAAATGGGTCAAAGGAAACCAGAAGAGACAAACACCCTCAGTGAAACTGGAAGGAAAAACAGAGTTTCAAACCTTAATAAAATCCAAATAGACTCACAGCTAATTGATACCAAACTTTTTTTTTTTTTTTTTTGGTGGAACCTGGGATTGAACTCAGGTGCTTGTGCTTGCCAGGCAAGTGCTTATTGTATTGAGCTATCTCCCCAGCCCCCAAACTTCAAAGTAGTAAGTAATTCATATATTATTTAAACCGCTTTAGGCATAGAAAAGAATGGAACATTTCTCAACTCATTTTACAAGTGTAACATAATTCAGTATCAATATTAACCAATGTCAAAACAAAACTGCTGAGCAATCTTAGTTAAGACAGATGCAGGGGGCCAGGGAGATGGCTCAGTAGAGTAAGCGTTTGCCTGGCAAGTGCAAGGCCCTGAGTTCAATCCCCAGTTCGGCCAAAAAAAAAAAAAAAAAAAGACAGATGCAAAAGTTGAAAAAAAAAAAAAACTACCACTAATCCATGAGTTAAAAATATATCACAACTAAATATGTTTCACACCAGCTATGTAAAATGGTTCAACATTATACAATAATACTGAATATAGTGAATAGTGGATTATATGGCACATGAATTATAGTTCAAATAAGTTATTTTAAAACATTAATAATAAAAAGCTAACCAGTAAATGCTTCTTGTGTCACTAGTTTAAGATATAGAGTGTTTTGTATATTTATATTTTTATTCTTAAATCTATTCCCTGCTTTACAATTTCCTTAACATTTTTTCATAAAAGCTACTTAAACATACAATTATTTTTTCAAGTAAAACCATAAAGATAAACAATCACAAAATGAATGTCCTAAAATCAATAAACTCTAGCATTAATGTGTGATTATTCCCAGTAAGCATGCCGCCTCTAGAAGCCACTGTACATATAATACTTGACATTTATATTTATACTGTCAAGGAAAAATAGAACAGTGTACATCAGAATACCTCTTTATGAAGGAATTGCTTATTGAAGATTACTGTATTTTGAAAACACCATAAAAATGGGAAAGGAAAAGAGCTTTACCAAGGTGCACAGCAGGCATAACTATCACCGTGGGAGGGGCACACTTACATGCCACCGTGAGGACTAGAGGCCACTTCCAGAGAGAAGTGTGCAGGACGTTAAATTAGTAACGTAGGAAATACAGCTGAGGCTCTGCTTTCTGTGCCTTTGGCTCAGAGTGTCTGCTTGGATAGAGGAATAATTAAGACTAAAACTAAGTAGAATGAGTTTTAATATCAAAAAGAATCAACCTGAAATCCCTAATGCTTCCTGTATGTAAAAGGTACCTATATGTAAAAACAAGAGAAAAGAGCTAAAAGTCTTCTCAAAGCTCAGCTCTCCATTAAATAAAGAAAAAAACTGTGATATTTTGTAAAATGTCACCCAAACCACTTCTCTGTAAATTTCCATCAAAGTGACAAATACATCAAAATGTATTCCTAAGTACCACATTTTCATGATGTGTACTTAAAAGAACCTACTATGTCTAATATGCACAAAATGTCACACATATTAGGATAATGAATTAAGGGTTACATAAAATCACTTTTAAAACAAAAGGTGACCTACCATTATGTGTTCAAGTAGGGAATCTATTGCGACTATGTTATCGAAATATGTTCTGAAAAAAAAAGGAACATAAATTGTGTGAGTGTTCTTATTGAGATCCAGTACATTAAACTTTTCACACATTTTCTAGATCTGTCTATACTTAAATAAACATGAAGATATGTTTATTTTGATTCTCATCCTTTTGTAGAAATAGTATTATGTTAAAGAAATAAATTAAAATTTACTATTGTCTTAAAGACTCTGATTCCAAAGGATACTTGCAATAATTATGCTAAGTACGTGGACAGAAAGGTTGTAGTAGTTAACTAAAACTAAAACTGGTTTTACCATATTAATATTTCTATGAATAACTCTGATCTGAAATGAAGATGTTTCGATTTGCTAAATCTCATAAATATAGTTAAAATATAAATTATTGTTCACAATTGGAGAAAGTTGAATTAGTTGCACTGAGAAAGCAGTGCAGCTTGGGCGTGGTGTACCAGTCTATAACCCCACTACCCTGGGAAGCTGAGGCAGGAACATCGCAAATTCAAGCCCCTTATGGACAAATTAGCAACTTACTAAGACTAATCTAAAAATGAAAAATAAAAGAAAGGCCGCAGATGTAACTCAGTAGGAATGCCTGGGTTTGATCCTCAACAGTGAGAAGAAAAAAGAGGAGGAAGCACTGTAATTTATTTGGGGAGAAATACCAAATTACAAATAATAGGATCTAATGAATACATAAAGTATATTCCCATCATTACGAAAGGTAAGTAAATATTTTAGAGCTATAGGAAGGAAAAACTTAAAGAAGTACTCAATACAGGGCTCCTAGCTGTGTAACAATTTAACTTTAGGTTCATGTAAGTGTTCTCAAAACCATGATAACTTACAGCAATGAATGGCGACTTTTATTTAAGAAACAATTTAGCTTGAAGCTACTGAGACCTGGGACACAATTTACCAACTGTACACTGAGAAATACACCAAATAAAGGGGATGGTGATGTAGATAAATTTTTACTGGAGGAGAAACAGGAGGGAATAAAGTATTTGGCTGACCTTGGACCACCTGCAAAGTAAGTAAATGCATCAGTCAGAGACGTGAATGGCTTTCCTTGTGCTTTGGAGTAATATAATCATGCGTCCCCAAAATACTGTGTTATTGGTTTTATTTTTTTTTTATTTTATTTTTTTTTTTGCTTTAAACAATTTATTTAACTGAAATGGACTTAAGTTTGTTTCTGAAGTGACTTCCATTTATTTTGATACATCTTTTCCCCATGATGATTTACAGGATCTTCAAGCCAATATAAATACTTTATAAATATTTGAATT